ACATTTGCTATGCACCCACTTTACCTTCAGTAATTGTGTAGGGAAAATGAACATCATGGAATGCCAGGTTATTAGAACAAGTGTTCTTTTGTTGAAGGAGTACTTGAGTAGAGGCCCAATGTGCATCTGCTCCCTTTATACTTAGCATATAAGTATATGGACAAAGATTTATTTCCCTATTATATATAAATATATTTACATATGTATATGCCTATATTTAGACCTCTATAAATGTATTTTGCCTCCTAGTTCTTGTCTCTATTTCTTTTTACTTTCCTCTTTTCCCACTATCATGTTCGGCCTTCATTTGGGTTTCAGTAATTCCTCTCAGTTACATTGCCCTTGATCAAGCCCCACCAGGCTTTCTACACCCTCCTTGCCATCCATTTCAGATCACTTGTTGTTCCCTTGTCCTGGGTTGGTTAACACCCATTTCCTTTCTCTTGCCCACCCCCTCCCGTGCCCCGCCCCCCAACCCTGAACCTTTAGTCCCATTGTTTTCTCCTCCTGAGTGTTTATCCCACCTATCTTAACTAGATAGACATGCAAAGACAATAATAAGCAAAAAAATAAGGCAGATCAAAACAAAAGAAAACAAAAAGACCAAACAACAGAATAAATGACAAAAAAAGGAAACACCTATAAATAGTTCAAGGTCTGTTTATTGACCTTTACCAGTGCTTTCTGGTTGAATCTGATGGAGTGCCACGCCCTGGCCCCAAAGCCTATTTTTATTATTCCCCAGTATGTTATTGCTTTGATCCATTCCTCCCTCATTTTCTAAGCTGTACTTCAACCCTGACCTTCACTTCATGGCATCAGCAGAACCTGATGCAGAATGGGCACCAGGAAGAGGCTTTAAGCCATTTTCAGAGGTCTGACCTCCCTGAATGAGTGGGCAAACCCAAACCCAGCTTTCTTAAAAATGACATGATGATCTTGCTCGAGTTTCTGCACCAACATGGCTGGCAACGTGGTGTTTTAAACCCTTCAGATCATATCTGTGCTGATCTGTAGCCTTCAGCTACTCTTGTAACTACCTGGGGTGGATAAGCAGGATGTTTCCCTCAGAAAAGCACTATTAACATCATGTGTCTCCTGAGTTCAAAATTTAAAAACCAAAAATTATCTGATCATCTTATTTCCCTAAAAATACAGATAGTATGTAAAATTGTGACAACCTTTATACGCTAAAACTAAGTTCTGAATAATTAACTTTATTTTTTAAACAGGAAAACAATGCTTTTCGTCATTGAGTGTCATCAAGGAGATTCCAACTAATAGTACACAGAACAGCCCAAAGGGTTTTTTTCTAGGCTGTCATCTGTACATGAGCATGCTAGCAAGTCTTTTTATTTTTTCTCTCAAGGATTGGCTGGTGGATTGGAACCCCTGACTTTTCATTAGTATCCTTGTGCCTGACCATGGAAACCTTCTGTTGTTAAAGACCAAAGTCACTACCATCAAGTTCATGCTGATCCTAGTAACCCTATAGGACAGGGAAGAACTGCCCTGTGGGTTTTCAAGACTGTAACTCTTGCTAGAAATGGAAGGCCCTGTGTTTCTCCAAGGGAGCAGCTGCTGGTTCCAGAATGCTGGCCTACAGCTGGCAGCCTAACATATAACCGCTGTACCACCAGGGCTCTTTTGACCTTGTTAAGTGCTGGCAACTTTGTTCTGACTCCCAGCAAGTCTGTGGGTTACAGAATAAAACACTCCTGAATAGTCCAGCATCCTTTCAGTCTTCATGCTTGAGTCCGTTGTTGCAGCTACTGTGCTAATCCATCACTTGGAGGGTCTTTCTCTCTTACAGCAAAAGGCTTATAACACCAAGGAGGTGACATCAGGCTGCCATCCAATTTGATAAATTGATCTCCACACCTACCATTACCCAAGAGTGTCTAGTTAATATAATCCCTAACAATCACATTGGTGCTTGTGTGAATTTGAGTAATAGTAGCAGGAACTTGCCTTACTTGACGGTGTATGTATAATACTATTACTAGCAGAGTTTTACTTTAAGACAAATCTTGAAGTGTTCATTTTTCTGACTAATTTGTCTTCCTTGCCATATGATTATCTGATTCAAATGTCAAATAAATGGTCCATTGCAGCTCACTAAACGCTAGGGCATCTCTCTTTAGATGTTCCATTTCCTTTTTAAGCTTCACATTTTCCTAGATTCATTCCACACTATAATTATTGTTGGATGTTTCACGTCTTGCTTCGAATCTTGAATCATGCCACCTCTGCAAATAAAGGTCCCCAAAGATTTACTCCGTCTGTCATTACGCTGGTGTCTATTTTGTGGAGTCAGCTCTTCCCCAGTTACTTTTTGAGCATTTTCTAGACAGCGGGCCTGATCTTGTAGCATGACATTAAGCAGTGTTCTGTTGCTATTCTTAAGACTTTCACTGTCGATATTTTTTTTCTCCAGAAATAAACCATCCATGGCTTTCTTCTTTGTTTAGATGCTCTGCTGAAACCTGCTAACCATGGGTGACCCTGGTAATATTTGAAATACCAGTGTTATGTCTCCCAGCACCACAGTAACACGCCATATGACAAACTGACTAATTGGGCGGGGCCTAGGTATTTTATGCTATTAGGTAAACAATTTAAATGTGAACTAATGTTTTAACAGCCCTCCACATTTAATCTATTAGCTGAGAAGATACATTCAGGATTAAATCTTTGGAGTATTATGATTGTGGAATTCTCTGATTACAGAAGCGTTTCTAACACCATTTTCATACAGATATTTCCCACATGATTCTGGTGTTCCAAAAGGTTTAGAATGTTACAAAATACTACTATGCAATAAAAATTATATAGCAGATTCTTATATTCTATCAAATGATTAAAGGGATTTATGTTAGAACAGGATTATTAGAGACAGAAGAGTAAATACAAAAAAGGAAGCAAATATGCACATTATTTTTCTCTATATCAAAGTTTAAATACACAAATGACTTCTTAGGTTTTAAAACTTACATTAATTATCAGTAGGGTTTCTGAGTGGAAATTTCCTATTACTGAGGAGTATTGAGAATGAAAGAGAACGTGAGAGGTCAACATGGAAGATTTGATCTTGGAGAGCACTTCATTCAAGTGGTAATTGAAAGTGTATAATCCGTGAGGTGATTGCCATGGTA